ACGACTACGACTACCACTACTACTACCACCACCATCACCACCACCACCACCATCACTACTACTACTACTACTACTACTGCTACTGCTACTACTACCACTACCACTACCACTACCACTACCACTACACTACTACGACGACGACGACGACTAGTACTACTACTGTTTTTTCCCACACACGTTTTTCACCGTCCAACGAGCAGCGCAGTCCCAGCTGCAGGCCCAAGGGCAGGTAGGTCACAGACTACAGGCAGGCTGCCAGGCGCAGCGCGCGCCGCTCACACGAGACGGCTAGCAAGAGGAGGCAGTGAGGCTGAGTCGGCGAGCATGTCGCTCAATGCGGGTAGCTCATCGACATTCGCGGTGCCGGTGAGTGGGAGCGACAGGAGGTTTGCTGCGAAGGAGCGCGCTGCGGCGAAGGACAAAAGCGCCGACCACCGGAGGGTGAACGCGGAGATATCCCCCATCATTGGTGTATCGCAGGAATTTGCAGGATGGGTGCACGTACGTATATTGAAACGTGTGAAATCCCTGGTTCAGTGTGGGCATCACACAGATGCCATGTACATGTGACACGCCTTGACCACAGCTTTGCTGATACGCGATTGGCTCAAGCGAGCGCAAAACATCTTCGACGTTGCCAGTGCATTCTTGCACTGGTAGCGGAGCGGTAGACCGCTTTTGCCAAGGGCCTTTACGCCCCTGCGCCTCCATATGCCATGGCTGCTGGCACTTTACTTGACAGCCTGAAGTTTGCCCACTTCACCCATGACCAGGATGAAGCTGGTGGCGCGGCTACCGAAGGCCGCAACGGTGTGCCTCGCTACAATGGCGATGCATCACGTTTGAATGAATGGACTTTCCGAGTTCGGATGCTTGCCCAGAAGGAGAAGACGATGAGCGATAGTGAAGCAAAGAAACTGGGCAGCCTCCCTTTGAGACTGGTGGAAGGACTGAGCGGACAAGCCCTGAAGATAGCTCAGCAGCTGGATGTGAGCAAGCTGGATACGGAAGGCGGAACCGACTACCTCATCGAGAAGATCTCTTCGGAACTACGACCTCGCCGTATGCAACAAGCTCGAGAACTCTTATGAAGCTGGAGCTCAGCAGGGCGGAATGTTGTCCCGCCAACCTGGCGAAAGTATGTCTCAGTACATACTTCGACGGAAGGCTTGGTACAGGGCGATGACGGATCTCAGCAGTGATCTCAAGCTGCCAGACATCGTCTTGAGTGAGCAGCTCCTCTTGAACTCCGGCCTCAATGATGATCAGAAACTGATGATAAGAACAGTGTGCGGAGACAAGATGAGCTTCGACAAGATCGCCGAGGAGCTGGGGAACCAACACCCCCGCATCCACGAGAAGAACAACTACCAGCCGCCTTACTTCCGGCGGTCTGACTTCCGAGGTTTCGCCAGGACCTCCCCTTCCACCAAAGGACACGGCAAGGGATACAAGCAGAAGCCGAGGTACTACAACGCCTTCCACGCGGACGGCCAGGACGAGGAGAACTACTACCCGGAGACGAACGACGACCAGCACTACCTCGATGCCTCGGACTTCCTCAACGACGAGACAGACGGCAACAACGAGAACTCCGTCTACTTCTCCGATGCAGAGATCGGAACCTATGCCGAGGAGCACTTGGCTTACTTGGCAGATGGCGGACTGGACATGGAGGACCCGGAAGCATGTGAGTTTGCTTCGGATCTCATCCAGTCCGAGCAAGACGCGTACTTTGCCCGAAAAGGAGCACAGCAGAAAGGGCACGGAGGATTTGCGAAGAACAATGCCCCCCCTTTCGAAATCAGTGGATCTATCAGTCTTGATGACAAACGGGCGCGCCTTCGGGCGCTGAAAGCGCGGACAACCTGCAAGCGATGCGGAGCAGTGGGACATTGATCGGGCGACTTTGAATGCCCACTGTCAAAGGGCAAGAGCAAGAAAGGTGGCGGCAAGGCCTCGACCTCCATATCGACCTCCTCCACTACTGGAACCTCACAGTACTCCGGAGGCAAGGGACGGCACGGGAAACCGAGTCGACCCAGAACGGTCTACTTTTCCATATCTGAGACCACAGCCAGCCACCCGACAGCGAACCTTGCCTATCGACGTGAACATGCTGCAGCCCTTCAGAATACCCCGCCACAGGCCCACCAAGACTGGTCGATCGCACCCTCTATGCGAGCAGTACCTCCTCCAGCAGCTCTGGTGGATGGACACGTCATCACCACGAACAACCACGAGGACCTCAATGACAACTGGAGTGTGGTGATCCCCTCTTCGACCGAAGGATCCCCGGAGCATGGACAATGGTTGCCTATGGAAACGGATGATCCGGAGATGCAGGAAATCCTGGATGCTTTGGCCATGGATTCTCGAGCACCGGAACATGCCCGCGAGAACGAGAGTGTGCTGGCAACAACCGGAATACCTCCTCTACCTCTTCGAGACCGACTACTACCTCGCCATCCGGAAGAAGCAACCACTGTCGCTCCGGTGCTCTCCCCGACTACGACGGCCCCAGCAACCTCCTCTACTACGACATCGGGAGCGGCACAGGCCCTACGTGATCCACCACGACGCGAGTGTCAACATCTACGCACAACGGCGCACGGTTCGAACAGCTTCGTGCACCAGGTGAAGTGCAAAGATTGTGGTTTTGTGATATCCCGCACTCGCCGGGACCAGACACAGCCGGCAACCACTACGACCTCTCCCACGACTGCAACGTGCCCTCACCACTGGACAACATGGAGAGGATCCAACGGGTCCATGCGCATCCGGACCTGCAAGGACTGCGGACACCGAGAAAGGTTCGAAACCATGGCAGGAATGACCGGACCACCAGACCCGTCTCGTGATCTACGACAAGCACAAGGATCTCACACAGTGAACACCCGCTACTTTGACGACAGCCTGCCGATCACTTTGGACCGTATCCCGACAATCCTCCACACCTTTCAGGAGATTGTCACTCGAAGAGTACAAGAACTGACAGAAGGCACGGAGGTGCCGTCACAACGTCTCCACGAAGCTCTGGACCTCTCCATAGCTACCGGAACGGCATGGACGACGTCGCCTACGACACCTCCGAGGACCACGACCTCTACTACCCGCTCTTATGGAAGTGAGAGGCACTATGGCGAGTCGGAGCACCACAGGAACCTCAAGGCCAGAGGACAAAAGGTCGTGGAAATGGGACGTTACAAGCACGGCAAGTACGAGGACGCCTACGTCGACACCGCCTACCGTACATGGGTGCTGGAGAACATTGGAACCACCAGTGCCTCGGGAATGAAGGCCTTGAAGAACTACTTCGAGGAGCGAATGAGCTATGAACGGCAGCCGGATTCCGTGGCTCTCATGGCCTACCACGAGAACTCCGACCACATCGAAGAGCACGACCTCATCGCCATCTTGGATACGGGATGTAACCAGACATGCCACGGCGACAGATGGCTTGAGCGCTACATCAAGGCCACCAAGCAAACGATGCCCGAAGCCGACACCACCTCTGAGGTTCGCATCCGTGGCATCGGTGGCCACATCAGGACGGCTGGCTCGCGAAAGCTTCCTCTGATCCTCGAGCTGGTCAATGGGGGACTAGCGCAAGGAGACCTCACCAGTACTGAACTGGTGGACTCGGATGCCCCCCTCTTGATTTCAGTGCAAGCTCAGAGATCACTGGGTCTCATCATCGACATTGCCGGCGAAGTGGTGCACTCTCAAGCACTCGGACACGACCTCAAGCTGGCATACAAGGACGGCCTCTTGGGCATCCGACTGCTACCGAGCGAAGAAGCATGCGAGCAAGAGGGTCCCGAGGACTTCCCGAATGACCACAAGAAGGACTCCAGCGAAGACGAGGAGATGATCCCGGCGCAGGATGATAAGGCCCGGGAACCGGACACCGACGTCGCCTACTACACCTTCGACGCGGAGAAGGCCAAGGTCATGAACAAGACACAGCACGCCCGAGTACGAGAAGGTGTGGAAGGAGTTAAGTCAAAGGACCGTCACCTGTGGAACCAGGTCAAGCCGAACAAGGCCCGCCGCAACTACGAGTTGCCCAGAGGATGTAAAACCTTCATCCTCGAAGTGTTTGCCGGGGCAGCCATGCTTACACAAATGGCCCTCCACGAGTGGTCCATGCCGGTCACTCCTCCGGTGGACCTGAACACTGGCTTCGACCTTCTTACGAAACAAGGGCGAGACGAGGTCGACTGCATCATCGAGCGCGACGACCCCTTCGCTATCACTTTTGCGCCAGTGTGTACGCCATGGACCTCCTGGACCAACATAGCCACCGGAGAGACCAAGTGCAAGATCATGGCGGAACGCAAGCGATGGCAGCCCACTCTGGCTTGGATGTACGATGTGGCAAGGTCACGCTTGGCCAAAGGCCGCCACGTGATTATCGAGAACCCTTGGAACTCTGCCATGTGGGACTGCTCCCACTCCCGCAGGTTCTTCCGTGGGTTTCCCCGCGACCAGGCCACCTTGGAGCCCATGGAATGTGTCAAGCTTGATCAGTGCATGCTTGGCCTCAAGGACGAGATCAACCACCTTCCTCACCTCAAACCGACGGGGATCCTCACGGCTTCCAGTGAGGTCAAGAAGCGTCTTTCCCCGGCCAAGTGCGACGGAATGCATTTGCATCAGCAACTCGACACCAAGAAACGCTGCGTTGCTGCACAGGCCTGGCCAAGAGACCTGTGCTCTACCCTCATCCAAGGCTTGATGGCCGAGCTCGACTACCTCCTCACCATGGTAGCTTTTCCGGCGGAGGCCACTACTGAGCTGGAGATCTCCTCCGATGACGAAGGCGAGGAACGCACCTACTTGGACGGCATCCTCACGGCGGACGACGAAGCCACAGCTGCAGAGCCGGACTACGCAGAAAAGAAAAAACAAGAAGAGTGGGAGATTGTCTATGAAGAAGGCGAGACTCCGGCACCACCGCAGCCCATTGGCGATCTTCCCCAACGGCGACAACAACAATGGCGACAGCTCCCGTACAACACCCGAGTAGCTCTACGTCGACTTCACCACATGACCGGCCATGCACCTCCCTCAGCGATGCAGCGACTACTCAGGACAGCAGGAGCAGATCAACAAGCCATCCGAGGCTTGGAGAACTTCCGATGCGCCACCTGTGAAGCCAAGAAACTCCCGGACAAGGCCTCACCGGTCAAAATGCCAGAAGAGTACAAGTTCAATAAGGCCGTGTCGTTGGATGTTTTCATCGTCAAGGACTCCTTGAACAAGAAGTACAAGGTGATGTCTCTTGTGGATCTGGGAACCCTCTTCCATGCGGCAGTGATCGTCGGCGAAGGAGGAGGACCGCCGAGCTCCTCGGACATGGCAAGGGCAATGCAAATGGTCTGGCTCTCTTGGGCTGGACCACCAGAATCCATTGTCTTGGATCGAGGACTCGAGAACCGAGGACAACTACAGAAGCTGATGACCGCCCATGGCGTGCTCCTGCGGTACATTGGGGTAGAGAGCCCCTACCAGCTCGGCAGGGGAGAAAGACATGGCGGAATCCTCAAGGAAGTGATCAAGGCTCTGGTGACCTCTCGTCAACTACGAGGACGTCAAAACATGGAATTCGCCGTGACCGAGTCCGTGGGCATCAAGAACCACCGAGTAAATCACAATGGCTTTTCTCCCAGCCAATGGGTGCTGGGGAGGAACCCACCGGACTTAGAGTCTCTTACTACCTTGGTGCCGGAGGCCAAGCTTGGCATCCATCAGGAAATTCTCGATGGAGAGACCAGCTTCGCCCAGCAGATGATGATACGTGGAGCGGCCAAGGAAGCGTTCTCTCAAGTGGACAGCTCTCAACGTATTCGAGCTGCCATGCTTCGCAAAAGCACTCCAGGACGAGGTCCCTTCCACATGGGCGATTTGGTTTGTTTTCACAGACGTCAGGGTGGCAAGGCTGGCTGGAAATGGTTCGGCCCCGCCAGAGTCATCGGACAAGAAGGTCGAGGAACTCTATGGATATGCCACGGCGGTATACCGATGACCGTGTCTTCGGAACAATGCCGACATGCCACAGGCAACGAGATGATGTCCAAGAGGATGCTGGAACTACGACCGTCCCGGAAACGGCGGAGAGAAGACATGGCCGCCGACGAGGACGTCGGCAAGTACGAGAACGACGACCCCTTCCTGGACGATCTGATTGGAGTAGGAAGTGTGGCCGAGAACCAGCAACAAGGATTCTTCGACCTCCACGACCACCCGAGCGACTACTCACCTTCCATGCCACCGGAGGCAGGGACGGATGAACAGGAGATACATGGACTTCATCCACCACCACCTGGACTCTTACCTGGACCACCAAATGCCATCGTGAACGAGACTACTCAGCCGGATGATCTCTCTGCATCAAACCAGATTGATGCATATGGGCAGGAGATACCTGGACTTCAAGCACCACCACCTGGACTCTTACCTGGCCACAGCCATAGTAACTTGCCGCCAGATGGAGGTCACTCACCAGCAATGCCGGATGTACCAGACAGCAGTGTGGGGTCCCCAACGATGTCCATTGGAGAACCGGAGCAGGAGATCGTTCCTCAGAGCCGTGAACAGAGTGGCCAACCTGATCTACTACGTCCCGCAGTGCAAGCGATCACACAGCGACCAGCACAGGACCCTCCGGACCAGCGCACTCTACAGCAAGCATTACGCATATCCCCAGATGCTTTAGATGGGCTCTCACGCAACCGCTACCGATCGCGGTCGCCACCACGGGCAATGATGACCGTTGCTGAGCAGCCGGAGGCTGGGAAATGCATTCACGGATTTCTCGCCAGGCGAGTCAACAAGAAGAGTGCAGCAGCCCGGGCGAAGGAGTTGGACTTCAAGCGTTCTACAGGTGCCGAGCTCGAGGGCATCCAAGAAGCCAGGACGAAGGAGTGGAACAACTGGCAGGGCTTTGACGCGGTGGACATCATCTCCCCTGAGCAGGTGCCAGACGTCATGAAGGAGTTTCCGGATGCTGAGATTACGCCGACAAGATGGGTGGATGTCAACAAGGCACAGCCATGGGAGCCCCCCAAGTACAAGTCCCGTATCGTAGTGCGAGGAGACCTCGAGAGCGGCGCCTCTACACGTACGGATTCGCCAACGTGCTCATCCACTATGTTGGGCCTGCTGCTATCCTTCACGGCGAATCGTGGAGCTCGGCTGCGGGGAGGTGACATCACGGCATCCTTCCTACAAGGAGAGAAGCTGGTTCGGGTACTACTTCTTCGTCCACCTCCCGGCGGACTTCCTGGAGTTCCTGAAGGGTCTCTACTACGGGCATTGAAGCCCGTCTACGGCACACGGGATGCGCCTCGCGGCTTCTTCAAGCGCCTCCACAACGTTGCCATCAAGCTGGGTCTCCGAGCTCTACCTCACGAGCATGCGGCATATGTGCTTCAAGATGCCGATGGAGTACAAGGAATGATGGTGGCTCATGTGGATGATCTGTTGTGGTCAGGCACTGAAAAGATGGACGCTATCATGGAGGCCATCACCAAGGAGTTCAAATTCGGCAGCCTGGAGTTCGGCAGTAAGTTTGACTACTGCGGCCGGACGATATCGCAAGAAAGCGGTGGGATACGAATCACGTGTCCTAATCATGCATCTAAAGTGCGACCGATTTACATGGATCCGTGGAGGAGAAGGCAGAAGGACAACGCCCATCACCGAACCCGAAAGGGAACAGTTGAGGAGCGTTGTTGGAAGCTTGAGTTGGATGGTCCGAGTTTGCAGGGTAGATGTGGCCTATGAGGTCAACTACCTGCAAGCAATGATGCAGAAGGCTGTGGTCGGAGACTTCATAGCCTGCAACAATCTGCTCTCCTACATCAAGAGGACTCCTGAACGAGGCCTCTTCTACGAGTACAACGCCTTCAAGGAGTCCGAGCAGGTGATCTACAGCATCACGGATGCCTCGCATGCCGCGGACTTCGACGTCTCCGCCAACGGCACCCCACTCGGCAGTCGCTCACAGTCGGGGCGGATCTTGGCATTGGGATCCCGATCTCTCTTGGATACCGGCAAGGGAACTCTACACATCATCGAGTACCACTCCAATGTCCTGAGGAGAGTCTGCCGAAGCACTCTCCAAGCGGAGACCCTGAGCCTGATCTCAGGCTACGAGGAAGCGGAGCATCTTCGAGCTCTACTGTGGGGTGTTACCCACGACTACCACAGCCCCAATCTCATCGAGGCGATGGACAACACCCTGTTGGTGATGATGACGGACTGCAAGAGCCTGGAGCAACATCGTCGTCAGCCCGGACTAAGCACGGTGGCCGACAAGCGATTGGCGATAGACCTCAGTGCCATGAGGCAGCTGATCTGGCGGCGAAAGGGAGAACTTACGGGTGATCCACTACTCACCGATGAACCTCCCGACGACGCTACTACCCTCGTGAAGTGGATAGACACCGCCACCATGCTAGCCGACGGCCTCACCAAGAAGATGCGCAACCTCCAGATCGACAAGGCCATGCTGAAGGGCACCGTAGAGGCAAGCTACACGAAGTTGGGCAACAGCAAAGCTGAGGCCAAAGAAAACACAGGGGTGTGAAATCCCTGGTTCACAGATGCCATGTACATGTGACACGCCTTGACCACAGCTTTGCTGATACGCGATTGGCTCAAGCGAGCGCAAAACATCTTCGACGTTGCCAGTGCATTCTTGCAAAACGCTTTTATTCTGCAATACGCCATGGTTGGGGCAGATAGGGTCTTGAGGCTTGAAATATTGCCGAATGATACGTTCCACGTAGGATTCTGCAATAAACAATCTTTGTGATGGACGCGCTTATCGATATTCGTTCCAACCTATCAAGATTTTCAGAATTAAGCTTTGCGTGTTGTTTCCGCCACAACGTTCGATTTTGTAGGCTCCAACGACAGCAGGGTATGCGGACGTGCCCAGTTGTCGATTCCGAGTTTGCTGTTCGATGAAATTGCACCAGAGTTGCTGCAAAACATTCTGCTCTTCTCGAGTCATCAGTACCCCAAAATTATTTAGCCCTGTGTTCAAGCGTCATGATGTGCAGACCAGTCCTGCTGGATCCATGAATGCACGTGATCACAAGTGCTCAGGCCATAGGAGATGGCAGGACATGCAGGGTTTCCTAGGGATTACACAATACACTGGAGGGCTGCTGCGGTGGAATCTCAGGATGCTGCTCACAGGCTTGTTTATTGCAGAATCCGGTGCCTCACGTGCCTCCGTATTCCGATTTGCACATGGTTTGGGTCTACGTGCCCCTATGCATTCTGCAAAAAATGACACATAAATGACAATAAACACGAGGCTACGTGAGGCGACGTGAGGCTGCCGTGGAATCCCAGGATGCTCCTTAGAGGCTGTGTTATTGCAGAATTCGGCGCCCCACGTGCCGCCGTACTCCGATA